TCCTAACTTCTTTAATATCTTAAAATTATCTAGATAAAAATCTCAACTAAATCATCTTTTATCTAGATATGATCAAATCGGATTATCTTTATCTTATCTGAGATACATACGTTTATGTTTTATCTAATCTGTATCTAGATTATTTCAAATTATTATCTAAGCGCAACACTGATAATTAGATATAATTATTTTAATTTGTGTATAAGTATATACGAAAAATTTTTTACCGGGAGGTAAATTGAAATTGTAAATTATTGTGTAATTTTTAAATTAAAAACGAAATTAGTATGCGTTATAGAGATGTATAAATAAATATTAAATATTAAATGTGTGGTGCCGGAGAAGAGAGCATTTTGAAGTCAGCGGCAAGTCAGCGAATGAACTTTTTCTATTTTTATGAAAGCGAACCCTCTTTCTCCGCGTTCACTCAGCGATATTAGAGCGTTCCCAAGCAGAAACGAGGGACCGCCGATCCGTTATTCCGGTCTTATCGCACAACACATGTTCCTCCGTCATCGCTTAGTTCTGTGGCGTAAGGACCCGTCGGAAAAGGAAGAATTGCTCGGGGCCACAGTGTATGAACTCATCGTTTGTCAATGTTTCAAGATGGCGGACTCGAACGAAAAGTTGTTGGCGGAACTCCTCAAAAAGCCTGGGAACAACGTGTGCGCGGATTGTGGGGCCAAGAGTGAGTGCGTTCCGTAAACAGGTTCTTTTCGTCTTTGTTGTTCGCGAACGAGCGAAACGTAATCACGTATCTCGCGTTTAATTCGAGTTAACCTGCGCGCGTGTAACAAACCCGCCGTGTATAATATTTTCTGACATTTCCGCGCAGTTTGTTTTCATCATAATTAATACACATTGCGATTATATAATGTATACACTTGGGTTCAAGTGGGATGAGATTCGTGTTGCTTTGATATTGACGTTTTCTTGACGTTAAATCAGAACAAATTCCTGTTAATCTTTGCGCATTAATTGTGAAACGAAAGTGAAAATTTGGATTGGCAGTCGATCGCAGAGAAAGACAGGCAGTTTTTTTTGCAAATATTTTCGCGACGCTACGTGTTGACTGATTTTCTGATTTGTTGATATTGCATTTTCAGATCCAGAATGGGCGTCATACAACATAGGCATATTTGTTTGCACAAGATGCGCAGGTGTGCACAGATCTATGGGAGCCCATATTTCAAAAGTGAAGCACTTGAAATTAGACAGGTGGGAGGATTCACAGGTGAACAGAATACGTGAGGTGGGCAATGCCGCTGCGAGACTGCACTATGAGGAGCGTGTGCCTTCTTGCTATCGCAGACCAAGCCCAGATGCCCCGCAGTGAGTTTATCAAAGTGCTTGTGCGGTTTTCCTGTTTCAGGTCCGATGACACATTTATATAAGCCTTATCATTTCAAGGAAATAGATTATGACATAAGCGGTACTTTGCTTGCTAAAATCATGATTTAATAATGTTGTATCATCTACGTGTAATTTGTAAAATCTGACTCTTTCAAAATTTTGTCAGAGTTCTAGTTGAACAATGGATTAGAGCAAAATATGAGAGGGAAGAATTTTGTCATCCCGAGAGACAGAATCACTACGTGTCAGGATTCATGGAAGGATTTCTAATGAAAAGAGGAAAAGAAGATTCGCGTTATCACCCTCGAAAATTTGTGCTCTGCGAGGCGGAAGATACGCTTAAGTACCACGTAAAAGAGAACAAGGTGACTTGAAATGAGATAAATTTGAGTCGAGAGTGCAAAAAAAAAAAAAAAAAAAAAAAAAACACATCAGTAATGTAATTTCTCACATTTATCTCAAGGAACCCAAAGCTGTTTTAAGAATATCAGAATTAAACGTCGCGTTTGCGCCACCCAAAACCGGCAATCAGAATAGTCTTCAGCTATCCTTTATGAAGGATGGCACAACAAGACATATCTATGTGTATCACGAGGACCCAGAAGTAATAACAAATTGGTATCTTGCTATCAGATGTGCAAAGCTGCACCGTTTACAGGTGGCCTATCCGGGTGCTAGCGAAAACGAGCTGTTGCAACAACTTGCAAGAGACTTTCCCCGAGAAGGTTTTCTATGGAAAACCGGTCCAAGGCATACAGATGCTTATAAAAAAAGATGGTTTACATTAGACGGTAGAAAACTCATGTATCATGATGATCCTATGGTATGTACATTTTTTGTCTTAATACTTTGTGTAAGCGGAGTGTTCTTGAGACAAAAACAATGACACAGCAAATAGTGTGTTAATTAACTTCTGTCTATTTTTTTTTTTTTTTTTAGGACGCACATCCAAAAGGTGAAATCTTTCTGGGACACAGTTCTGAAGGTTTTGCTGTTAAAACAGGTGTACCGCCGGGTGCTAGAGATCAAGGATTTTCGTTTACTCTTGAAACACCTGATAGGACTTACTTGCTTTCGGCGCAAAGCGAAGACGACAGATCCCAGTGGATTAACGTGATCCAAAAAGTGATCGATAAACCATTAACGCCACAAGATGCAACCGGTATGTATAAGCGCGATGTACGTAAATCTCAAGAGATTACGTGCGATGCTTTCTGTTTGCAGTAGCGGCAAGACTCGTAAGAAAACGCACAGCTAGCGGAACAATGAATATATTTTCGTCTACAAGATAAAGATGGATTCCTCTTAGACGTCTTTCTTAAATTGTTCAATTGGTAATTTATATACGATTGATTCGTATTATTGAAAAATAGGCGAGATATATATGACTCAGTAACGCGTGAAAGGGCACGCAAAGGCTGCCCAGGCAATTTATTCAGCGTTTTGCTGTTGGGTCGTGTATTTATTCGTATATCTGCACATGATAAAAAAAATGCGGTTTACATACAGAAATTATATATATATATATATATATATTGTTACGCCCGCGGAGGCGAGACGACACTATCACTGGCCAACTGAGATTCACACGCGCGTTCACGGCGAAGAAGAAGCGCGGTTTCTCTCTCTCAAAACACTTTATTACAACAGAATACAAATCGTATCAGGACGAATCGTCGAAGCGCGACGTGACAGCTCTCCGTTGCAATTCTTCTTAAACAAACTCGCGAGTCGCCCGGCGGCAACGAACAGAGTCGCGCCGTTCACGCGGCTCCCGCGACGCGGGGTGACCGCCGCGTAACAATATATATATATACATATAAGACTGCTCGAAGACGATAACGAACGCGGATGAACTGCACTCCAATCCTCGATAAAAAAAAAAAAAAAATAAAATAAAATAAATAAATAAACACATTTGTATTAAAATCAATGCTTGTGCGCCACTTGCTGTCGAAATAAACACAGGAGCAAGCGGAATCCTAACAGTATTGCAAGGAAGGTTTTACTTAGCAATAATATCGCATGTGATACTTGTCTCTGACAATGTACCTCGTTGTGTGGAGCACTACCGAGAGAAAACTTCCGTATGTTTGATTTTTTTTTTTCCCCCGGCTACAGAACAATCTATTGGACAACAGCGAGGTTGGCTTGACGTGGACACATACATTTGTAAAAAACAAATTATCTGCCACACACGGAAGAGTCCGTACGACTCAAATCGTCGGGACTGAAAATAAACTCGTATCAACATTTCTCTTATTCTCTCTTATCTATCGGCAAGAGTTGCGCTTTTGACACGCGTATACAAAATTATATAATTTTATATTCTGTGCGTTGAATGGCGCGATGATGTTGGAGCGATAGCACTTGAAACTAAAAGAAGAAAAGAACTTGACGATTAGACGAAAAGAATTTGAGGAGTTGAGTTGTGCGGAACTCTGCTGTAATGATGATTTGCAGTATTTTCTTTTTCTGACTTTTCTTTTTTTTTTATATATATATATATCATACAGCTTCATAGTTTTTTTTTTTTTTTTTTTTTTTTTTTTTTTTTTTTTTTTCTATCGATATAAGGCCACCAGTGATAATAATATACTTTGTACATAAACAATAAATTCTGAAGGCCTATCTCCAAGTTTTCTTATTATTTTTTTCCTTCAAAAAAGAGAAAACTAAAATAAAATTTATATTTTATTCCCCGACAATATATTTCCTTGAATAAAATCGTATATATATACATATATATATATATATGATATATGTAGTAAAGTTTAATTTTTCACGTTTTGTTTGCGTGTTCAACAACGGGAGCGCTTTTTAGATAGCAGAGAATATTAATCCAAATAAAGACAGCAACACTGACGTAAACTACTCGCAAAGACGGCGGAACTAGCATAAAATTTATTAGTTGCACCGGTAGCCAATATCCGCACGAGGTCTGAAAAAAAAAAATTACGGCGAACAACACATGTAACATAACTTTGTTTATTGCTTCTGTGCTATTCGAATACAAACCTGAAACGTGTGAAGAAACTTGATTCTACATTCTTCGAAGATATCCGATTTGGCTTCCATCAAACTCATACCTGCAAGATTTACAAGACAGATTGAAAAAAAAAAAAAAACGCAAGAGAATAGAAGTAATCAAATCTCTCACGTAATAAGACATTTTATGCAAAAGTACAAACTGGTAAAGAACACGACGAGTAAAGGTGGTGTCAGGAGAAACTGGTCGGCAAAGAGCTTTGTCAAAATGATTCTTACGGATGTTCCGTTGTAAAACGAATCGAGCCATTTGTACCTGCCGATGTATCGTGTAAATTTTTATATATATTTTGTTAATTTTCTTACAAAATTACAAATGCACACTTTGTACTGATTAATTATAAACGAACATAACGCCAGATTGTTATACCATCCATGTAATATCGGCCCGGCCAAGAAACAGCCGTAAATCGCGTATCTTTTCAACTGCGGCCAATTGTAACTATCCGTCGATTGAATCGAATTATCTTTATCCACAATATCCAATGTCTCACAAAGTCTCTGTATCCCAAGTAACACGGGACCTTTGGTATCAACTTTGGAAGTTTGTTTGGATTCTATCACAACCGGCTGTGTACATCAATAATAATAAGCGCAAAATCTGTTCGTTGTTGCGGGAATAATAATATTCGCAAATGGAATTTTTACACTCGTATATATTTGTTCCAGCAATAAACAAAAAAAAAAAAAACAATTTGAAAAACAATTTCTCACCTTTGACGTTGTGATTACCTTTCTGTTGTAATTTTGTCGAATGAACTCGGCGCTGGTGCAGAAGAAACCGTACACCACCGAATTGAACAACAACGGTCTTCTTTGCATAATTTTACCGACCAGTGGGAGAAGTTTCGTTAGTGACATTTTTGGTTTTTTTTTAATTTGCCAAGAGCCCTCTTGTCATTTGCTTGTTACTTCCGCTTTATACGTGAGCTATTGAGCAAGATAAAATACTGAGTTTTTTGCTCTATAACACTGAAAGATTTAACGGATGGTGTGTCGCTTCGAAGAGTGACACTGACACTGAGTGCGTGGAACCATGATCGTTTAGACTCAATCACGTTCAATCACGACTCAACTATGTCAATTATATTGCGTCAACATGTAGAGCATCACACTGGATTAGGATATCTTGCGGTGAAAAGAAAAAAAACAACAACATTGAGTCTTTGCATACCCGTATTATTTTAAAATATTTTTAACAATTATATAAATTGCAACGACTCTCACTTTTCTTGTATAAATTTGACAGTTTAATTTGAATTACATGCAACAGATTGCAATTCTGTACGCAGCCAGTTTATCCAGTCGGAAGATGCTTCTTTCTCAAAAGTGATTTCTTGAAAAACTTCGCTTCTTTCCACCTAAGTTGCAAATTTTTATTAACAGTAATTTTTGAGATACAATCGAGACAAACTCCTCGCAAGCTTTACCTCTTGAAAACCAAGTTTCCCGAACATCTTTATGCTCATTGCGTTGTCCGATTTGATCTTGGCTCGAAATTTGTCAATGTTCAATGTCTCAATGCCTGTGTATTAGAAAATATAAAATACACAAAAATATGAACACGGGAAAAAATGCAAAAAAAAAAAAACAAATTGAAGAGTTAACAATTACATCAGAGTATGATTGAGTTACCGTAATTTATCATGAGAATAACAGACTCCCAGCCTCTCTTTTTGCCTCTGCTGGCTTCGTCGGCGATCATAATCTCAATTTCGGCGACCTTTGGCTCTTGAGGATCGTTAAAAAACAAGTTCGTGTCTCCTATCATCGCGTCTATAAAATAAAATTTCAAAAACAAAGGTTGTAGGTACATCAGTGGAGCGGAAACAGCAGCAACTGTAAAAATCAATGTACCTGTTTCACTTCCAGTGGACAAGAAGATGTATTTATCCAGGATGATGAAAGTACATTCTGCAACAATACGAGACTAGACTACTTTTTGGGAACATCAGTGTGTCGACAACACGGATACATATCGAGACTAACGTATAATTACTGTCTTCATCTTCGAGCCATCGTTTTTGCATGTCAAACTCTTCCCGCAGCGTCAACGGTTCAGAACCAGTCAGATATTGCAGTGTCGGACTCCTCATCCACTCGTGATATCTAAAAAATCAACAATCTCCCATCAATTTACAACGACCAAATATAAACAAGACAAATGTAAAAAATTTGATGAAAACGATGATTAGCTCCAGATCATTTATAATAGTGCGGATAAGCCAGTTGGAGCAAAACACCGATGTTGATGTGTATACACTTTTACACATCAACATCGGTGTTTTGCTCCAACTGCCTTATCCACACTATTGCAAATATAAAAGATAAGTAACAATATTCACAGATTAATATATGTATTATTATTGCAATAAAAACAACAAACTTTGTAACATGCTTCTCTTGATACGGAACCAGGATGACGTTTGTCCCATTGATGCGAGTGTTCGCGTTCGTTCTCATGATTGTTCAAACTAAACACGACTTTAACCGAGAATATACCGAGAATTTACGTTTCGATGTTATATCACGACAGAGTCGATCGTGTGTCTTTCTCTAAAATATTTGTTTACAATTTTGAAAACAATTTTGCAATACGTTTTGAGCCACCACGTATCGTGCGTGTGGTTTCTTCTCTTTCCTGAACCTGATTTTTATCGACCTGATATATTTATCGGAACAAACCCAACAAACTTAACCGTCTGATCCGTAAGGTGACGCCACCAATAATCAGGTCCATCGCCAACCGATAGAGTCTCGCAAACACAAGTCTCGTCTCTTGTGCATTCGAAGATCCCGCGGATATATTACGCGGCTTACACATCCCACCACACAGGCGCAACACACAGGCGTAAGGTGACTCCGGAGACTACGTTCGCCTGTCAACGCGACTGACGTTAGCGCTTACCACGCTCGAAAGGACTCCGCTGTTTATCTGTCAGAACAACATCGCCGAAACAACAACGGGACTAAAAACGCGCTTAAGGCGGAAACTTACGCGGAACGAGTATAGACGAGACAAATCGGAAAGCGCGGAAAAGACATTTTTAACACCGGTAAGTGTCGTCTTTGCACTTCTTTGGCAACGTGCCGCCACAACGTCGTTGATAGCGTCGGCGAGGAAAAGGCGCGCGGGAGAAAGAGCGCGCGCAGCTCCTTGGGCACGCACAAGCTCTCGCGTGTACACCCGGGGCGCCCTTTTTTTTTCACTCCCGAGTTAAGTATACGGGCACACGTGTGTGTGTTTCGTACAAACCAAATTGTGTCTCGAACAAAATTTCTCAAATTTTCAATCATCACGTGCGCGTGTCGCTGATCCCGCGTGTCTTGCGCGCCTATGCGAGTTTGACGTTATTATAAATCCGACGTACGGCGGATCACGGTCACGCTTCGCATTCTCGTTTGACTTTTGACCGAACTTAATTTCGCGTTTGACAGATCGCTCTCTCTCTCCGTCTGACGATATATATATATATATATACATATATATATTGTAAACAACCAACTGACACGGACCTTCGAAAAAACCAGTTCCTACGACCCGAATCGTTCCACCGACCGAAAATGAATCACAATATGAACGGTAAGTGTATAAACGTCGTTTCTCGTAAACGACAATTCTCTTTCTTCTTAACGTAATATATTCGAGACGTGTATATCGGGGTGCCGCGCGACCGGCCATCGCGCGGCGGCACACGTTTTCGGTCAGGACGACGCCACCGCGAGAGCGACCAATGATGAAAGTGTCAGGCACGTGGTGCGACGAGAAGAGGCGCGTATGCGGTTGTTCGTAACGCGCACAACACGCTGCATCGGTCGATCCCGTCGTCTACGGGGCTTACTTGAGTCGTCGCAAGGAAAAACTTTCTGAAAACGTTGGCAGCAAGACAGGTCAAATTGTCATTTCGATCTTTTGTCAACGCGTCGGAGAGGTCCGGGGGGGGTTACTTTTGCACGTGGTACGATATACCTGAGGTGCGCGTTTTGTCTTTTTTTTTCGTTACGTGACTCCGTGTGTATGCGTGTGCGTGCGTGCGTGCGTGCGTGGTGGTGCGTCTATGCACGTGCGCGCGTGTATGTGTGTGAGCGTTGCGCCGTGACTGTCATTCTCACTTCTGAGCGGCTCTACTATCTTTTGCGAAATATTTCGTCGTTCAGACGCGCTTTGCACACGCTCGTGGTTTGTTGTCGGTAAAACGCGCGACGACGTCGCTTTCGCGCGTTTTATCGTCTTACCGAGCGATCAGAACGCACGGAGAGCACGTGTTTGTAAATAAACGTAGAAAAAAAAAAAAAAAAAAAAAAAAAACTCTCTCTCTCTCAAGTGCACGGAACGAGGACTTCTGTATCCTCGACGTTTACACAATGTGACGTTCGCCTACTTCTTCGTCGAGTTGTTTTTTTCACTTTCCAAGCGAAATACAATTAATAAAGCATTGAGTGAAATATAACAATAATTTCTTAGGAGAGACAGGAACTGTGACTATATATATTAATAAGTTTTTGTTAAATTATATAAAACGAAAAAATTTATGTTGACATTTGCTTTTGTGACAACTACCTTTTTGACATTTGTCAGATGTTCCCCAAATATTTGTTGCGATAGAAAGCGATAGAAACGTAAATTTTTCATCGTTGCTTTGAATATAGGATTGATTTACGAGTTTGTTTTTCCGAAACGATCAGTTTTTGTGTAGAATTTATGCCGAATGAAAAAAAAAAAGCACTTAATTTCTTATCTTCCTTTTTTAGAAAAAGACTGCTTTGAATTTTTTTTTTTTTTTTCACTCCGTTACAGAGGAAGCGAGTTTTGTCTCTTTTCTTTCTCTTATTTTTATAGATGTGAAACTTCGTTTTTGCAAGAATGTCCATAAAATTTATTAGAATTTATCTGTAAAAAATAACGCGCGCTTATAAAAAAAAAAAAATTGTTTCTCTCTGAACAAAAAGAAATTTTTAGATCATTTCCTTTTGGTTTTTCGATGTTTTTTTTTTTTTTTCACTCCGTTATAGAGGAAGCAAGTTTTGTCGTTTTACTTTCTCTTATTTTTTATAGATGTGGAACTTCTCCTCGGCAAGAATGTCCATAAAATATTAGAATTTATCTGTAAAAAATAACGCGCGCTTACGAAAATTGTTTCTCTCTGAACAAAAAGAAACTTTTCAGATCATTTCCTTTTGGTCTTTCTTCCCCCACGTGTGTATATATATATATATATATATATATATATATATGTGAAATACGTGAATTATATATATGTTTCTTCTTCTCAAGATCAGAAAACTCGAGAAATACGTCAAGAAACGAGCCCCCATTTTTCTTCTATTTGCTTTAAGTAAGAGAAACGTTTTTTTTTTTTTGTTTCCTCCATTTGAATGTGAAAATATTTATCTTCCTGTCAAAGGAATGTCAAGTGAAAATGGCAAAGTGACGCTATGAAAATTTTAACAATTTTCATCACAATGAAAAAGTAGGTCAGGTTTTATTTATGCATTCGCGTTTCCACCTTTTATACTCCACGTCCTATTCTCGTGCAACAATATTTGAATCGTTGTACTCCTCCGGTATTTTATCTAACTTCATCGAGCCGTATCGTTGTTTTAATTCTTTGATTATTATTCATATCATCACAATTTTTCTCGATAATCGGAAACAAATAGAATTTCCTGAATCTTAGTACGATTTATCTCTTATCTAAATGTATACAAGATATCTAAGTATCAAGGAAGTTTTTTCATTTGTGGTTAATATAGTAATATAAAATAGGAGAGAGAGAGGAGAGAGTGAGAGAGAGAGAGAGAGAGAGAGAGAAAAGAAGACAGAACGGTAACTCAGACGAATCTAGTTCGACTTATAGTCCAAGATTAGCGATCCGTAAGTGGGTCGCGCGTATGTGCGTTATCTAGTCTCTGGTCATTGGCCAGCGCAAGGAATGAATCGAGAAGAAGACGAAGGATATTACGTAACGCGCGCGCGCGCGCGCAATAATTTGTTATTGATAAAAAAAAAATCTGGAATTTATTTTCCTTGTCTGGTATTCTCTTTCTTTTTTCCCTTCCCCTGTCATTTTGGTCCTATCGACCGATACGTTGTCACACACACATCGTGCGCGCACCGTACACGTGGTGCTTTTATGGCGTAAACTCGCCCGCAAGACGAAACGGTAACAATAACGGCGACACGCCGAGAGTGACACATTATTCAAAAAAATAAAAGTTTTCTCAATGATTTATGTGTGCGGATTTGAAATTTATGGCTTTTGGATGAAAGACCGTCAAAATTTTTCACCGATTCAAAAGAATTATAACTAAGGAAGAGAACGTAACTAAGGATCGTAAAAGTCATAAATAGATGTAAAAATGTAATATATCTTAAAACACATATAGCGACTACTAAAACTTTCGAGGTGACCTCGAAAGGTGAAATTTACATTATTACAATTATTTACAAGCGCGCGTTACTCGTTTGTTTCGCGCGCGTTTGCTTCGAACGTTAATTAGGTTAGGGTTAGGTTAGGTTAGGTTAGGTTAGGTTTGCGCTCGGTCGAAACGCCGCCGAACTCTTGTCATGTCTCTCAATTCGCGAACGTAGTCGGTCCAAAAAATCTACGTTTCTTCGTGTAAAAAATCTACAATTTATTCTCCAATCGTGAACTTTGAACGACAAATCTCGTATTGCCAAGCCGGTGATAAGACCGTTCGCGCGCTGCCGACTGTCATCGAGGAACGATGGCGCGCGAACGGCGGCGGCGGCGGCGCGGCGGCGCTATCGTTCGGCTATCTCGTAAAACGTTATGTAATGTCACTTTACGACGAAGCGCCGCAACTTCTTCGTAATCTCTTGTCCTCGAGGAGTCTGGTCTCGCGCGTACGTATACACGAATAACGACGTGACTAGACACTTGTAAAACTCGTGAATTATTTTAGCGCGTTTATCTCATCGCGCATTATCATGGAAGAAAGGGCGATTTTTGTCATTTAATGAAAATAAGAAAAAAAAATATATATATATATATATCCGTAGATTTGTTACATACGACGATTTAAGCGTCTACGCAATTTTTGTTTTATTTTTTGCAACATATTGAAATACGAGCACATGTTGAAAAAATATTTTTTATTATTTTAACAGATATAAATTTGAAGAATTAAATATAAGGTCTTGTTGTGTGTGTAAAATATATTCATATAATACACACACACATACATATAAATGTTCGCGTACGTTGCGATGTGTCGCGCCCGGTAAAAATCAACAAATACACACAATTTTGTAGTTTTACTTTATTTTTTTTTTTTTTTTACACAACAATCGAATTTAATGCAACGTGTGTCTTTTACCGATGTATCGCGGTCGATGAGTTAATCGCATTCAAGAATCGAAAGAAACGAAATACGTAAATGTATGCAAATCCATACGGGACTTTGTGTGCGATAAATCGTATGCTCTATTGTTGTGTTAACGCATTAGCATTTGCAACACATCGATCGAGTTAGATTAAATTCAAGATTCTCAATGAACGGTGGGTTGGCGCAGTCTGTTCGGATTCGCGATGACGAGTTTTAGTTAAACGCGCAATTTCGTTTCCACAAATCGGGGATATAATTCAATAAACAAACACAAATCCTATCTTCCACAATAATGATTCAGAT